AATGCTTTACAAGGGGTAACGAATATCTTGAGTAATTTGAAAATGATACCTGATGACAAGCAGCCCGCGGATTATGATCCGGTAGTGTGTGCAAAGAGTGTAAGTATACAAAAGAAAGATTGGATCCCGTATTGCTAATGCTACAAGTGTCGGTACTAAGACTCGATTAATAATATAGTACTGGATATTTGCCAAGCGCGGTGGTCTTCTCAATGGTGAGCTATTTACTACTATTATGTCATGCGCGCCACCCAATTTATATTTATTAATATATTGTTTTGCCTCTTGTCGTAGTGCTCCCTGATGTGAACATATGGGTCAAGAAGAACGAGCCTATAGCAACGCTTCATTCTGTATTTGGCATTCTCGTCGAAACGTATTATGCCCCCGAGGATGGTATTGTAATTGGGAAGGAAATGGACCCTGTGTGTCAAAGTGGACAGAGGATATTGCATCTTGGTGTTGTTGAAGAAGAGTTTGCGGCCAAAGTTGATGATGGGCATTTGTAAGAATAATAAAATACAAATAGATTTAGAGTGGTGGGGTCGAACAAAAAAAAACACAACCATGTAGACACATTGGTAGGTAGATAAGAAGACAGCTGAAGGCGTATACGCTCTTGCTGCATTGTTTGCTTTATATAGAAAACATATTAACATACATTATTACGATTCATTATCGTCATTTTCAATAGAGAACAAAAAAAGTATCATTCTACTATTAGAAACGACTTTTTGCACAAGTTTTGCAATGATAATAAATGATTTTACACTACCTTATTTTTATAGTGGAGAAACAATTACTTTACAAAGGAATCAATAAGGAGATTATTACTATCAAATATTCACAAATTTTCTAGTACTTCGATCTTCCACGCTTGTTTCCTAACGGATGACTTTGTAAATTGTACTTGCGTCGATTGTGTTTCGTCATCTTGCGCGACTTGTATCGGAATGTATGCACTCGTATTCACCTGACAAGAAATACAATTGCAATAAGTATAATTGTCGATACAAGCAATACTGCAATTGTTGGGTAGATGCACTTACATCTAATTGTTCAATCCCTGCAACAATGTCTTCTTCTAGCTTGCCAAATGAGTTTTGTAAATTCTTGGCTTTATCAATATATGCTAGAGATATAAACGTGTGTAGTATAGTCTTAACGTCGCCTGCATACAAGAAACTAATTAGTATAGTATAACACAACAACTAAGAAACTCGTGTCATATTAAAAAGCTGGTTTAAAAACCTTGAAGTGTATTAAACCGATCCACCAGTCTTGAAAGAGAACCAAACAGGTACTCCACTTCGTATGGACTTCCTTTTTTACCCCGTGCGCGTTTACGATCTTCGCGTCGACGCATCTTGGCAGATTTGCTGTTAAATTACCGTCAGATTAATATGGATGTCCACAATGTCGATTCTAATGGTAGTATTAATCTTTGCAAACTTACGCGGTTCTTCTCGAAGCCGTACTTAATCGAGAAGCAGATACGGTATATCGAGTAAAATCGCTTGCCATTGAACTTGTATCCGACATAATATCGACGTTGTCAATTGAGTGATCGACTGT